ATTTGTGCTATTGTCCGGCTGCATTAGGGAAATCCGGAGTCGTCCAAACTATACTGAAATGCCAGAAAACTTCATAATAGTCAGAGCCAGTGCCCAGTATATATTTTAATGAAATTACTTCCGATGTCGTATCAAACTGTCGAACACAACATACTGCAATGAGAAAAGTTGTAAGGTCATTACAACATTAATCGAACACAATACATTCATGTGGAACGTATTTTATCATTATTTCATTCGCCCGACTACTAGTTTTGGAATACTTTAAAAAAAAAAGAGGAAACGGGTTGAAATGTCAGAGTTTGTTCAGAATGTGAAAGGATGCACCCCAAATAGTTTGCACATGATATGATATTATTGTGGTAAAAACGACACATGAATTCCATAAATACCGGTTTTAATAAAATAATAAACAAACGCAGGCCAATATGATTGTTAACAGTTATTTGTACTAAATATATTTAAGAATTAAAATGAGCTCTTAAAACTTGCAAGTGTGCATAGTTATTCTTCTAACTGGATAGCTGTGGTACACACATTTCCCAATTTCTTACAATACAGACAATGCTTTCTTCAAATTCTCCATTTTGAAATTATTTTTTTACGATGATAACAATATGTATAATTGATATTATATGGATTAAAGATATAGTGGTGTTTTAAAAAAAAAAATATGCTGTGTAGAGGAAGAATTTTTAGAATCATTTATTTCAATTAGTTAAACGCTAAAAGAAGATAGACTAATTGTTTATAAAACAAACAACATTTGATTTTTTTTAACACTGTTAACACAGTTTTTTAGGTACTTGTTCAATCACTCACAGCGTCCTAGACATTTACGGTCTAAGAGTAATTTCCCCCTTTTTTGGGGTTTAGTTTTTCAAAAGACTATAGATTTTTCAATACATTTGATATGCCATCGACCCATTCTAGAACTACCTTTAATCTGATTTTTAGACCTCAAGCTCTAAAAATGATAAATAAATAAAAGTTGTCCACCCTTTTTAGGGGAAATGATTGTTAGGAAATAGTTAGTAGTATTATGATAATATTCTATACAAATCTAAAATCAATTTAATTTAATTAAAAAAAAAATGCTATAAATATAAAAAAAATGCGATCTTAAGTAATATTTTGTGTGATTTTTTTTTTTAATATTAAATTGGAAGGGTTTAATTTTTTTTAAATTTTTGGCCATGAAGAAATCAGTGGTTGTTATCATGGTTTCATACACAAAAAAAAACATATCATTGTAAAAAGGTTTCTTACTCGGTTCCGCATCGAAACTAGTAAATAGAACAGATAGTGTTAAAATAACAATTTCATTTAGCTAACACTATATCTTTTAATACGTTTGCACCATATCAGCTTATTATTACTGTTCATCAGCTGGAAACTAGTTAATTCGATAATCGATATCGAATAGGGTGTAGGAAATAAAAAGTATGGCTTCACGTGTACGTTTACTAAGGTACAAAATATATTATTAACGGTAAAACTTATTATTGTATGGTTTATCATTTATGAATAAAATGCACAGTCAGAGAGCATAAAATCACCACACAAAATAAACGTATGGACAAGAAAGTGGAAAGTAAATCTTGAGATGAAGATTAAGGAGACAGGTACACACCACCGGCTAGAAATGTCCCACCGTTAAAAATAGACCTTATGAAAACATGTTCAACACTATCAAATATTACATAAGCAGGTACGCCAACAAAGACAGAAGTAAATATTATAATCACTTAAACCTAACCTGACTATCGGCTATTTCGCCGTTATAAGCCGTGTTTGGGGCATTAGTAATAAACTAAAAGAAGCCATGATGGGTTTAAAAATTAATTTACTTAGTTGTCTAAGTTGTCAACCGGTTTGAAATGGACTGTTCGGTCAATTTCATCTCATCGGGCGCAGGTTTTTACCAGAAAAAAAGAAAAAGTTTTTCAGCCGAGTCTGCAACCACGAAAGAGCATTTTCATGTCTCGTTGAAGTACCGAATAAATTTAGATTAGATTTAATTATAATTAAAAAAAAAAAATTATATGGAGCTTCCAGTTACATCATAAGGCCAAGGAGATTAAAAAATTATGTACAATCAAGTTGCTGGCTAAAATTGTAGTGTTTATTATCTGGCCTAAAGTAACCTAACATAGAGAATTAAACTATTTTGAATTTATTATTTAGTTCTAATTTGAACGTTGAACGTACAACATATCTCTTATCTACTATATCTTACCCCTCTCCCCTACCCACTATCTCTCGTCCCTATCACTCACCCCTATCTCTCACCCTTATCTTCCACCCCTATCTCCCACCCCTATCTCCTGTCCCCAACCCCACACCTATCCTACCCCACCCCTATTTCCACCTCCAACCCATCTCCGTGTGGTAACGCTTTTTTCGTTACGCTTTTTTTCGGTTATTTGCCATAGCTAATTCCACCCTTTTCCCATTCCTACCTCATCTTCAACCCCATTTCTTTTCTGGTAACGCTCTTTTGGTAACGCATTTTTCGTTACAATATTTTCGTTATAATGTTTTCGTTACAATATTTTCGGTTATGTCCCAGAGCTAAGACATAAAAATGTAAAAAAAAAACGTAAAAAACAAGGTAAACTTTTGTATTTTCATTTTGGGGATGATTTCGTGTAAACACCTAACCGTTACCTAGTACTTGGTTACGGGGCGGAAACGGTGTAGGGTATGTGTTCTGTGAACCCTTATATAGTCGCTGTTTGACGACGAACAATACCCCTTTCCTCCCCTCCTGGTCTCTCCCCCACCCCCTCCATTCAGTTTATAATTGACCAAAAGACGGCAGCTACACAGGGGGTGGGGGTCGGTCGATGAAACGGTTTTGATTACATTGTCGAGGACGGCCCGTAATTAACTTATCATCACTTTCTCGCGATTATCTGTCAGAGTGTGATTCCACAGCAACAACAATGGGAGAAGCCATTAGGATACAAATACCGCCCCCGCGCCTCTCAGTGTGGAGAACTTGGCTGTGCGAGAGACCGGAGACTGCCGAAGACGGTTGTTTCGAACGTCGTTATTATACCGTACAAGGGGCGAGGTGGGGCGGGCGGGGCGGGCGGGGGAGGGCGTGGGCCGAGGGGAGGGGAGGTCATTTTCTATTAGTGTCATCGTGCTCGACTGCTCGTAACGGATTACCAGATACCGGGTGGTCGGTTAATGCGGTTTAAACACAATCCGTTATTCAGCGACGTGGTACCCTCGTTTGCTCGCGACAACCGACGGACTATTGTTGTGTGTATTATGATGTCACTCTACTGTTGACTACTACTGTGATGTGACGTCCAGTGTTGATTTGAACGACCACTCGGGTATGTGCGTGTACCGCCAAACGCCATACACCCCACCCTGTAGACGGTTTGCCGTTAATGTCGGAGACGGACAGCGGTTAATGGGACGTAGTCTACCTTCGGCGTATTTGATATTTCGAACAAGTGATTCGTCGTACCGAACTCTCAAAGCTTAAGTATCAATTACAAACGACTTTATTTGCATTCGTCTGCCGTCCGACGTCGCCGTGAGATTAATTGCTCCGACGACCAAGCCTGTCCCGCTGACTCCTGAGAGGCACACTTATCGACATCAAAGGGAAAAAATAATAGTTACTTAATGCAGTTACGGCTTAATTAAAATACAGCTAAAGACCTGCTCATTGATATTTTCGAATAAGGGAGTGTTTGAAATTGTATTTATTTAGTATTTTAATGCCGGGTTGCACCAAATGTTTACACATAGATATACTCGTTTTACTGGAGTTAAAATAAATTCTGTTGCATAAACCATGTTTTATATTTTATCTGTTGTTAAAAATATATTTTATCACGAGTTAAATTACAGGGTCATTTATCGCTGTATAAAAATGTATGTTCAGTTAAATTTTGTTATCAATGTTTTGCGTTAAAGCGGTGATAATGGAAATGTGCGTTATCAGTTTATCATTAATTAGACCCTGTATGATAATAGTATTAACTCTCACTGCTGATACCATTTATTCGATAACCAGTATACCGGTAATAACCTGAATATAAAACAACGATTGAGCAACACTCGTAAATTTAACACATGTTAGTTTAATAAAAGTTAGTTTATTAGGCTGGTAAATAATTTACCAATAGATAACGACAAGTTTGGTGTAACCAGGCATTATAAAAATAAAATTTAATTGTTCTTAACAATTAATGTAGGTATAAAAAAATGCACATTATATTATTATATTATACTAACAAATTTACATTATTCTTTTTATCCGCCCGGTTTAATATTATTTAAATTTCTTGTTGTTTCTACCCTAAATGAAATGCTCCACGTTCTATATTTAATATCGTCTGTCTATAATTTATCTAATTTACATTTGATATTGGATTACGACCCATATTTATAAATTGCATTTTTGTCAACACCATTAGAGGATTTTGCTTTAAGTATAATTTTAAAAAATCCCATCGTATAGCTGCGTCAAATAATTGATTGTTGATTTAACTAACCTTTTTTGTATCCTACTGCAAGATAATTTTGGTAAAAGCAACAAAATTCGTATAACAAAACATTGTACGTAAAAAAATACTGTTAACTTAACAAATAGAATTTAACAATACTAATGTCACGGTGAAACTTATTTCAATTAACCAGATGTTAAATTTAAATGAATTGTTAACTATCATTTTGTTAAGAGCGTATTTAACAACAGTTGCCGAAACCGGCTGAATATATGTTTGCTGATTTGAAAACTAACCTTTTTGGGGTAAGAGTTCACTAAAAAAATATGCAAAGTCACAAACATCCATCCGAGCTTTAAATTACACTTGTGCTAGCACGGCGATAGGCTATTGTGGTGTTGACGACGTTGACTGACTCAAAGTAGTGGAATGTATTTTATATAATCTAGAGTCACACGAGTTTGACACGGAAGGGTTGGCCGGTTTATGTGTGGGTTATGATACAAATAGAATAAAACTACTTACATTTGACGAGGTCTCTACTGGATGCGGTGCGCAGCAACAACGGTTGGCCCTTTTCCCGTTTCCAAGTGATTTTCGGTTCCGGGTTGCCGGTGGCATGACAAGACAATGTGGCGTTTTCGCCCTCCATCAACGTTAAGTCTGTACTCGACTCGTCGGTAATTATATCTGGAGGAACTGCAAACAAATTAGATAAAATTCACGGGTCGGTCGAACGAAACGAAGTTAAATACTCTGTTAATAATAAAAGTAAAAATTCTAACTTATAAAAGTTTTTTTTTGAACTTTTACTTTTATCGATAGAAGTTATTTCGACACTGCTCACTTTTCTCACTGGACTTTTAAAAGTTTTTTTGTTCAACAGTTAGTATAAACCATTTGCACGATTAGGGTTTGACGGAAAAAGTATTATGCAGAAAATGTAATCATCATAATATATTATATTGTATATATAACAGTAAACTTAATAATAGTTTTACTATACTATGCTTTGAAATAGTTTGAAAATTTTAATATTATTAAACAAATTATGAGAGTAGTATATCAATATAAGTGTGGCCAATATAATTTCACAGTATGAAAGTGACAGTTTAATTTTTTGAACACAATACATTTTATAACTTAATAATTGAATTTTTTTGTACATATAACTTATATTTTAGGGAGTTTAACAAAAACTTTTATGTGGCATTTATATTGATAAAAACTTTTTTAAGCTAGAACTTAAACAGTTTTGAAAACACATTTTTGATTAACCTCTTATAAATAAAGGTGTTTTAATGGGTTTTTAAAAAAAAACATATTATACGACATAAATATAACGTTTAAATTGCAATTGAAACGGACCGCAGCAGGTATTCTCTGATTTTTGGTTTATATATTTTTATATTGTACAATTTTATTTTACCTCGCAGAACGGATATTATGATTTATGAAACACAGACATCACGACCATTCATCGGTCAAAACGTTTGTAATTGTACCGCATTTGCAACAATATGGGGTTATGGCACGCACATTTAAACATTTTAACTATTATAAAAGGAAACAGGTTTACAATCATGAATATTTATTATATGCCAAAAGTGAAATACTTAATAATACGTTTTAGTGTGAAAAACCAACGGGATTTAGTAATGTATTTGAATTTGAATACGATTTAAAACAAAAAACTAGTAGTATTATAAAAACAATAGAAAATATGAGTTTTTAAACAAATTACCAGTATTCGACAGTTATTATTTGTAACAATAAATTATTAATAAACTTTTATTGTTCAATTTTTCGCATTGGTTTGAAAATGTAGAAATTAAAAGAATAATTTATAAATATTATTTCACCAGTTTGTAAGCTAATAGAAACAAATAAACTGATACAAGCAGTAAAAAACTAAAGGCATCCTCACAAAACAACTGATAACTAAAATGTCCTCTACATTGTTTGTCAATACCTTAATCACTTAATAAAAATAATAAAATATTATTTAATATTTGATATTTTTATTTTAATCACTTAATGAATTTGAAAACAGCTAGTTATAAAATGAATAATATGTATACTAAGCAAGTTGGTTCAAAAAAAAAAAAAAATTAAATTGTCTACGTTTGTGGTAAAAACTGTAATTTATTAAATTACTAGAAAAACCAAAATAGACATTCCTCTAAGTGATTAGGTTTACAATAGTTTATGTTTTTGTGTTGAAGCGTTGTCCCATTTTCTGTGAACAGTTTTCCTGAACACTGAATATTCTACTACTTCCGTTATTTGGAAATGTTTTTTTAAAACAAACATCATAGCAATTTAAATAGCGTCTAGTCGTGGGTAGAATAAAAAACAAGTCAAATAACTCTAATAACTTATGTACATTTTAATAATAATTATTTATTATTGAAAATAAATTATTTTTGAATTTTCCCCAAAAACCTAATCAACAAATATTTGGACGTCTTTATTTATTTATTTTAAACTCATTTGTGTCCAAGTACCTAACCTAACCTATAAGTTAGTACCTAAGTTTCAGATTTTTAAAATTAAGTTAAATATTTAAAAAAAAAAATACCAAAATACTGGGTAATACCAGTCGCCAAAAAACACATGTAAAATGATAGGGAAAAATTGAAGTTCCTAAAAAACATACAAATTATGATCAAAATATCATATTATCAGTACAGACCTATTGTACAATGATATTGTTTGAAGACATTGTATGTTCAATGGAAATATTAGTTAGGTAAGGTTGTTACAAAAGTTATGTTACACCGTTATTACCATCATCAGTTTTTACTGGTATTACCCTTATCAGACTTTTTTTTAAATACATGTATTTACTGAAAAGCTGTAATATTTAGATATATTATGAGCAAATAAATGCAATCCTCTTCAGTTTGTGATATATTAGAAACAGTCAATATAGTAAAAAATTAGAAATTCTTAATTCGACATGAGTTTTATTATGGAAAAATATTACAACAAAAGTGATAAAAAAATTGATAATTATTTTTTTGGGGGAAAAAAGTTGTTTTGAAACATCTGGTATTAGGTTCTGGTAACAACAGTTATCAAATTGTGTGCTCATCTAAATTTTAGCATTTTAAGAGATATTATGCCATTGCCGGTATAACCCACTGACTGTTATTCTCCCATTCTTCTCTAACTGCTGTAAACTGACATACGGCGGCCAAGTTGGGGCTTACATTGTTGTTGAATGAATTCATGGAGAAAATACACTGATTTACGTTTTCGGTTAAGCTCTTACATTTTTGATAGGTTGATTCGTTGTGTTTGGGGGAAATACGAATTCTAGCTATCGCGTGATCATTATTTGAAGTAATAATATGAAGTTTCGCTATTCGGAAAATGTTTACCAAAGTTTTGCCCGAGTTTGAAAATCACTTAGACTGTCAATGCGATTGCGATAAGAACAAACGAAGGCAAAATCGATTTTCAAATAGAAATTCCAGCGAAAAACTTTCCTTGTCGTTTTACCGTTGAAATGTTTTGTAAATATTTTCCAATATTACTTTTGAGCAAATTTAGCAACACAAACAATAGAAAAAATGTGTTTTTAAACTGTATGTGTATGTATACAGAATACATTAACCCTTAAACGCAGCAAAACATTTCTAGAACAAAACTGCATATGCAATGTACTTGCACGTTTTTTTGATCTCACAGTTTGCAATGCTAATTTTTATTTTCGGTATATAGTGGTAAAAAATACACTTTATTTCTGCGCTCTAATTATGCTAAAGGTATAATTAAAAATGACAAAACAGTATTCACTGATTTGCATACATTTTTAGAGAAATAAATTACTAAATCGTACAAAGCAACTGTGTTGTAGTTAAGAATGAGAAAATGTTAGCTTAGCATAATATTTTTGAAGATAATTATTTATTTATTTATTATAACATATTTTATTTTTACTTATAGACTTTAATCTTTATATTAGTGTTAAGTTGTAGATGTAAGTTAAATAGAATACAATATTATGTGTATATTTTTTTCTAAAATAATATTATAATAAGGCTGGAAACCCACCTACAGCGCTGATATTTTAATTTAAAAAATAAACCAATTCTAAACGAAAGGTAATAATTATGTTAAGTATAGGAGTTCATATTTTATATGACTGTTTAATTTATTTAAGGCTCTTCTAATATTTGTTGGTATTGATTTTACTAAAAACAATATTTATGGCAGTTATGAGATACAATATAGCTGTTGTTTTTTTTTGTTCTTATACTTGATTTATATTAATCCTTATTTAAGAGTGATACAATTAAGATGTAGTGAAGCTGGACAAATTACTGCTTAACCGATAATTATATTGTATGCGTGCCTTAATAAACTAGTTCATATTGATTCGATGGTTATAAAAGTTTATAGTTGCTTACTATACCTAAAAATGATTCTACAATATTCTTATTACAGTAATTCTTCTATATTACATTAGTAAAGTTGTTTATCTTTTCTCTTTCTCTTTATAGGTTTTGGTACGTTAAAATCATATTTATGTCTCTATTAATTCATCTCACACCAACTCTTTTGTTATTTTTTTCCCTTAATTTATGTTAGCATATAGAAATAATTTAAGAAATAACATGTATAATACCCGAAAAAAATTATAGAAACCCACTTACATATTTCTTACAGTATCAATTAAATAATGGTACTCAGTGAAATGTTACAACATTTACTACTATGTTTGATTTCTTAATTATTCAGATAACTTATATACTTTACTTAACCATTTATTGTTAAAATTTTAAACAATGAAGAAAAAGGATTTTTATTCTTAAATTTGCCCTTTTTTTGGAATCACCCAATTATAGTCGATTATATTTGTCGAGTAGTTTAAATAGCTTATGTTTGGTCATCCTAAGAAACTTGGTTGAAATACTGACGTTAATTCTGGTTTTGTTCTTTAGAGTCTTCTACGGTTTTTTTTTGTACTTTAACGATACTATCTTTGTAAGTTGGACTATTCAAACTGAAAACACCATTTTCGAGAAAGGCCGGTTGCCCAAGGGTACGCCGGGGACCTGTATATATAATAACATATTCCGGTTAAGTAATGTTCAGTTAACTGAGGGGCTGCAGATACACACACACACACACACATACATTGGGGTGTAAGAAAAGATAATAGACGAGGGTTAGAAGATAACCCAAAGGAGAGGGTGAGTCAAGGTACATAGAATATAGGGAGTAGCAGTCAAGTCCTAGTTGTCCGGTCACGTTTTCCCGTTAAATCCATTTTATCCCACCCTGTCCTCCTTGCAGAACGTTCAGACGTGCCAAGACGGGAGAGAGAGCATAATATTATCTGTCTTATGTGCCCGTAGACGACACTTTTATTCACTCTGTACACAGCATTCTGTTGTAATCGCCATATTAATATGATGATGTGCTTGCTGCGGTAGTAGGGGAAGCTGAGGGGAATTGAAATATCTTTGGAACTGAAAATCCAGAAATTCCGTTCTTTCTTGAAATCGAACGATACACTTGTTAGATGTTATGTATAGAAGTTTCAGATTTTTAAAAATGAAGTTAAATATTTTTTTTAAAAAAGTGCAAATGACCGCCATTACCCATATAACGGGGTAATACCAGTTGCCAAAAACCCCATGTGAAATGATAGGGAACGATTTAAGTTCCTTAAAAAACATACAAAT